TGAAGCCAATACCAAGCAAAGTAGCTTCTTTACATGATCTAGTTGGTGCGACATAGAATCCCTTCTTTATAGTCACGTTACTTATGATGGTTGGTAAAACAAGGAGTCCTTGTTTTATATACATGAGTGGGAGCAACCATTCAAAATTTTTGCACCCCCTCTTATCTTTCATTAACAATAGGGCCTAGCCTGCAACCTTCTTCTCAGAGACCTAAATTTTGGATGTCTGTGATCCATTCTACAAGCCTATTAAAAAAACGTGCTACTATATTTTCGGTGCACATTAAGTTAAGACGTTGCTTTGCATACTTTGTCATTCGCTAAGTTCAAGATGGTCCATTCAACAGCCTTATGATGAAGGTCAACATCCTTAAAAACAGTGATTACTTTTTTTCCACTATGCTCTAGTGAAATAAGCTTGATTAGTTGTGCTGCGACTATCATCATCTTGCTCCTTTTTATAGAACTACCAACAAAGGAATTCTTGGCTAGCTCAGAGTGAATTGTCGAAGGAATACCAGCTTCATAGCCAAATGAATTGTCAATATTAAATACACCTAGGGATGTTTCACAGAGGACAACCTTTTTTTATCCAAGAATCATAATTTTCAGCAATATGATGCGAAGATGAGTTTTTTGGGAATATTATCAAAAAGTTATTTGGTAAACTAAAATATTTTAGGAAATATTGAGTTAATTTTCTTGATACTATGTTTAGTTATATTAAATTTTCTTTTGCTATAGAAATACTAGAATACCACCCACGGGATGGTATTTTCAAAAAAATTTATACACAATATAATTCTGGAAAAATCAGATTCCGGGAAAAATTTTAAAAATCGTGTATCAAACATAAATAAATACGATTATCACTTTCAGTTTCTCAGGAATCCTAAAAAAAACCTTATACCAAACACCCCCAAAGAAAAGCCTCCTCCTTTGCATAATTTATCCAGCTCCAAAAAAGTCACATATGCCGATGCAGATGGCAGTAATATTGAAGTACAACATGTTGACAGAGGAAAAGCTACTTTCCATGAATAAAGGAAAAAAAAGTAGACCTGCACTTGTGTAACTGTGTGCAAGTGCAAACACAAATTTTAGGAAGAAAAAAAAATATTTTTTTGAGTTCTTAACAAAAATTACAGGGTCCAATTTAATCACTTAGAAGAAAAAAAAAGTCGATTTATGATTTCTTTGAATTTCAAAGTAGACCCAGTTGATCAAAATTGTAATCACTCTGAAATTCAAAGGAGATCCATGTTAATCCTTCAAAAGAACTAACATAGGTCTATTTTGAATTTCAAAAGGACTACAAGTCAATTTTTTTTCTAAGAAATTAAATTGAAACCCGTAATATTTGTTGAGTATCCAAAAATTTTAAAGGAACCATCTCTAAATGTACAAGCATAAATAAAATTTTCCGATCCGGCACTGGTTCACGAAGTAACTAATGCAACAACCCCAATGAACTCTTTGAGAACATAACTCTTTGAGGGTAACCAAAGGAAGAGATACATGAGCCTTGTACTTTGCGACCAATCCTTCAGCAAGCTTAGCATACGTAAAACAATTGGAAACATCAACTAGCGCGGCTCGTGTTTGCCTTGATGAATAGGATGGTGTTTGGAAAAATTACAAGTATTGGCTAACAACAGAAGCATAGTAGTCAGAGAATGCACAATTAATGCATCAACCATCACAATCTTGCTTAGTATATCAAAAGTATTCGCTGATTGGATTTGATCATAATTGTTGCTCCCCAAATTAACGATTCCACCTTTCATATTGGTATTTATAGGAACTTGAGCGACGACAAAGGTTACAGTAAATTCCTTTGTGAGCCCAGAAGATTACCCAAAACGAATATGAGAATTGTGGAAAGTAACTCAGAATCAACGATAGACTTAACCAAGCACCTGCTACCATACGACAATGGATGTAATAGCAGCAACCGAGCCTTGGAATGTAGTGTTGATTGATAGGACAACGGTGGCAGAAGAAACTTCTAATCTTTGCGAGTTGGTTGTGGATTTTGCAGACTCAACTCTAATCTTTGCAAAATCAACGTGCATCTCGGCTCTAACCTTTGCAAATTCAGCACGCGTGTTTGTGATCAATCGAACGAAGGCAACATTAATAGCTGCAATGAGATTATCCAAGCTTGTTGTAATTGAAGGTGAGGTCGAAAGGTGGGGTTGGGAATCAAAGATTTGTTGTGGAAGAGGATAAAGACTACTTCTAGCTATGGAGGAAGAGCAACTTGATAAAAGCACTATTGTAGCAGGGATTTATGAAAAATAAGAGAAGAGACTGTATAAGGCGAAAGAAAAAGAAGAACACAGGAAAAGGGACGAAGAATAGAGAGGGAAGAGCTTTGGTGCAATTTTCTCATATCTTCTCGTTACCTTATTCTTAGTATATATATGACTAGTCACTTACAACCGGCAAAACGGATTTGGCTCGACGGGTCAACTGACCTCACCCGCCAAATGAGATGAGTCGAGTTGAGTTTTACAATCTATACTCAAAAGCATGATGAGACCGACCGACTCATTTTTTGGCGGATTGATGATGAAAAAGTGTGAGTTGACTCATTTTTTAGTAGGACAGGGCGAGCCTAGCAATAACAAAAGAACAAAGCTGAAATATGTTATTAGTCGTTAAAAAAAGTAGGAAAATTGATAATGTAGCTGTACGACCTTGTCACTAGTTTTGTGTTGCAACAAAGATGGACGATCAACATGGCAGTGCTCATGGATTTTGATGGAGTTGTTTGAAGAAGCCATCTAAAAGAAATTGAGGAAATGCTCACTTGTTTATTCGTTTGCTGATGTAATGTTATCAATTATTTAGAAGCCAACTACTAGTCTTGCCCTTCTCTTTTGTGTTCTAGATACAATATTGTTAGTAGATTTTTATTCTAAATTATTTTGTTTGATTATTTTTCATTTTAAGTTGATAACCTGCCCAATCCCGCTCCGTCGTTGACCCATTTAAAAACAAGCCAACCTGCTCCACCTCGCTTTTGAAAATAGTTGCTGATAATAGAAAGACTTTTATTGAAGAACAAGAACAATTTTATTCAAAGATGATCAATTCTGTTATAAGCTGGGTATATGTATAAACACACCCTGTGCATTTTACAACTAACTAACCAATTCTCTAATCACAATACAGGCCTTAACTACATTTTCACATTAACAGGCCTAGAAGTCCACAGCCCAACTTGGAGCACCGGTCATTCTTTTGGGCCCGGCCAATCCAGCTCCATTTGCTCTATTTACTCCATTTGTATCAGTTGCCAAACTCAAACCCCCGCCCCCTGCCTCTAATCCGCTAAATTAAAAAAAGAAAAAAGTGAACATATATATCATTTTGGGCCATTTCCCCCCTAAATGAATTATAGATTTTTGGATGGTGAAAAACTCAACCATTTCTTTTAAACACTTGTAACCTATCTTGTATGCCATGTTCATCTTGTTAATAGCTAATCAAATAGAAATTCTAGTTGAAAATAAAAATGTTTAAAGAAAAAGTGTAGGACAAAATGTATGATAAATGCTAATATTGACTTATAACTATCACTTCAATGCTTCTCTTGATAATATTCTAAAAACAATACTATTATTTCTTTAGTCCAAGTATGAACTTAGTGTTAGGGTTAGGTGTTAGATTTTAAAATTTGTAAAACAAATAATGTAATTTTTTTTTTGAAAAGAGAGTTATACGGGCCAACCCACCCCATGACGTGTTTAATCTACTTTGACTCATACTTATGTGGGACGAGTTAAATTGGTTGCAAGCTATAACTCAACTTGCCATTTTGTCAGGTTATACGGGCCGACTCGACAAGGTGACCCATTTTGTCGGCTAGCAAAATTAATAAATTTTAATTTAAAGAAAAGAGTTAACAAATCAAATATAATTTGGGTTGAAAAATTCTTGACCTACAATTTTTTATTTATTTAAATAGTTAGAGTTTAAAAGTGTTAAATTTGAATAAGTTATTTAATTAATTTATATTAAATTTTTTGATTAATTAATATTAAAAGATTCAAAATTAATTATTATTTAAAATATATGAATATTAAATATTCAAATTAAGGTTAAAATAAATTTTCTAAAGAAAAATTAAGTTAATCATTGATTTCTGTCAATTTAATGATTATAATTTATTGATCATACTTATTAATTAATTATTAATTTTTAATATATTATAACTATTAAATTGACAAAGATCCACAATTAAAATTTAATAATAAGAGATAATAAAAAATAATAATAAATATAACCTTCTCATTTAGTATTATTTCGAACTTACAAATTAATTCAAGTCAATGCAAATCAGTTAAAAAAAAGTCAATGCAAATCTTTTTTTTTTTCCTTAGATTTTACTGACTTAATCTATTTTACCTGGCAAAGTGTCCCGTTTGCGTAATGCAACTCCTTACACGTGACAAAGGAATTCCTGTGCTGTCTCACTATTATTAAGTGAAATAAAAAAAGTATAGGATATTGTGACACCCTACACCCATGTGACACCCAGTCAATCTCACCGTTAGATCGTTTATGTTGATCCAACGGTTATATTTATTTTCATCTTTGTATGGTCATGATTTCCCAAATTTAATATTTTATATTTATTTCTACTTTTGTATGATTATGATTTCCCATATTTAATACTTTCACTTTAAATTTGGGAAATCATGATCATACAAAGATGAAAATAAATAAACTGTTGGATCAACATAAGGATCTAATGGTGAGATTGACTGGGTGTCACATGAGTGTAACATAACTTGGATGTCATAATATCCTATCCCAATAAAAAAAGATAAAAAAATCTGATGTCATGAGAATAAAGTTTCTCTAGTGTCAGTAAGAGTTCGATTTTTGTGTTAATATTTTTTTTTTAAAATTAATGGGCTTACTTAATTATATATGCCTAAGAAAATGCAACCCCATAAAAAAAATAAAAAAACGAAAATATCCAGTGGGTTGGTACTTGATACGTAAAAGCCAAACATGGTCTTATTAGTGTGAGGAGATAGACGCATGGTGTTGGTTCAGAGGACCACGACGGTAATGGAAGACCAACAACAAGAAGATAATAGAGAACAGTGGAAGAGGTCTCAGAGGAAAAGAACCTCTTCTTCTTCATCATCATCTTCTTCTTCCATCAATAGTCTCGATGATGGTTGTCTTATGCACATCTTCAGTTTCCTTCCCCCTATTCCAGGTATAACCCTTTTTGTTTTTTTCATCCAAACATCAATCTTTTCGCTCAATTCAACAACACCCAGTTTTTTGTTTTGTCAGATTTTGTCATTTTGATGTATTGTTTTGGGATTTGTGGTGCTTTACATGCATTTAGGTAATGAATTAGGTTTTGAAATTGGGTATTTTTTCCCCCTTATTTGTAAGGATTGACTAATTGATATGTAACATTTATTTGCATTTCGTTGTGTTTTGAGAAATGAAAAGCTTGTAATATGAGACTTGAGCCAAGTTTTGGTTTATAATGTCAAAATTTGGAGCGTAAAGAGGATATTTGTTAAATATACAAACATGTTCATGTATATTCTCTTGGGAGCATCCAAGTTTAATAAAGCTAAGAAATTTAACATATTAATCATCATCACCCTTCTTGACATGATTGTTACCCATACAATCATGTTCTTTTTACTATTTAATTAGTAAACTGGTCATGCACCTGTTGCTTATGCTAGTTTCAGTGGATTGTTTCACTCACCTCCACTTTGCTGGTGATACCATCTCTATCATGAATGTTCTGTCTATCCTTAAGTTCTTATAATGCTGTTTCTGGGCTGAAGAGTAGTCTTGCTATAAGTGTATTGGTGGTTTGATTTTGGACAGTCAGATTCTTTCCTTCCTCCTATGCTTCAGTGTTGGTGCCAATTTTGCGGTGGCCTCTTTACTTACTTGGGAGTTCCTTTGGCTGGTAACTTTTAGGCTACTTCTTTTTTTGGAATCATGTGATTCACAAGATTTCAAAGCACTTGAACAGTTGGAAGGGGGCTTTGTCGGATTCCTGTTGGTCAGTCTTATTTGTACAGTATTCCTCTATGTTTTTTCTAATTTTTTATATTCTGGTAAGAGTGCTTCAAAGGATGGTGAGAAAAAATCTGGGGTATTCTTTAGTTCGATTTGGGAGAACAGAGAAGAGATCACTTTGTGTGCTTGGGAGATATGATACACACCTCACCCTCCCTCTCTCTCTCTCTCTGGACATTTGTTATGTGCTAGTCAAGTTCTGAAACACTGAGTCACATATTTCTGCATTGCAATTCGCAATGCAGCTAAAAATTATCCTTTTAGGGTTTGCAATGAGCACTGGGTGTGTGCTTCCTGCCTTCCACCTTGGAATAATTCCTATTGTTTCGATGCAAAGGTTTTGGCCAAAAAAAGGAGGTTGAAATTCTGTGGCACTGTGCAGTTTATGAAATTCTTTGGTGCACTTGGAGCCGAATGCACTCATCTCTACGAGTGTTTCCTTGCTGAGAAATCTACTTCGGCACAATATTGTGTTTTGAGCGTTCCTCTTTGATGTTGAGCCCATGGTTGTTTTAAGAATAATTACATTACTTATTTGCAAAGAGATTGGGAGGTGGAAGCCCTGCTGCATTGTTAGTTTTTCTCTTGTTCTGTTTTCTCTCTGTTGTTTTTGCTTATTTTTGAGGATATCTTATCCTCGCGCTCCTTGTACTCATGCTTGGATCCTCTCTTTAATTAATTTTTTATTTGCTATAGAAAAAAATTAAAAAAAGAAACAAATAGCATATTATGGAGCATTTTTTGTCACAAAGCTGCTATTGAGTTTGCAGATCGCTTTAATACCGCCCTCGTTTGCCACAGATGGAATTACTTGGCATGTCACCCTCGGCTGTGGCTTCGAGTAGATAGATCAGTCAAAAATTTATCTGAACCTGGTGTTTTCCCCAACATTGAAACTGCTGTCACTGCTTCAAGGCATGTAGAATTATTGCTAATTGTGTATGAATCTAGATTTTTCCACAGGCTGCGGATTGTAATTGTCGCTTTCTTTCTTACAGACCAGGTGATACCATTTTAATAGCAGCTGGCGGAAGTCATCGTGTCTCAAACATTCAAATTAAAAAACCACTCTGCTTGGTGAGTTATCCAACACTCTTTGTATATGGCAGTGGGAGAATCTTATGACAGGTTTAGTTGCCAACTGAAATTAACAGAAAGGGGCATATTTTTAGTGATTCTTAAAGCTTTATTCATTTATATTTTCTGAAAATAAAGTTTCCATTCCAGGATTTATTACCATTTTTCTCATCTTATGTGTTGCAACTTGCAAGTCCTACCTATTTGACATTTGGGTTTTTTTTTTTTTGGGGGGGGGGGGGGGTGTTTAGGGCTTGCCACTGCCCTCAGTGAGGGCTGCATTGGTAGTCATAGATGACCTAACAATGAAAGTCCACTAGCAGGACCATGCAACCTTCACATTCCTTGATATTAATCCTTCCAAATAGTTACAGCCCTTGTAGTAGCTTCGCACTCATCTCTTGATGTTGTCAAGTGAGTGCCGCTATTAGTTGTCCCCATCACTTACTACATGTATAAGAGACACAAAACATATGCAGCAACATGGTGAACTGGTTAAATACAAGAAAACAAAACTATGCAGGTATGCCTAAATGGTGTTATGATGTAGAAAGTATCTAATAAGTATAAAATGTGATAATTTGATATTTTTGTTCCTAAAAGCACTATGAAGGTCGTGGAAAATTGATAACTTGACATGAGTGTTAAGTGTCTAATGTGTTGGACATAAACAATGCTTCTTTTTTTTAGCTTCCTTGCTTTGGGTACCATTTCATTCTTAATCATTGTCGGGTTGGTATATAGTATATAATTGGTTTTTATAATATATATAACTGGTTATTATATTATTTGTACATTTAGTCAGACTTTTGAATTTCATATAAAATTTTAGCCAACATCTGTCCTTAGATTTGGTGTTTGGTTTCTATTTTGTGTTAAGCACATGTCTTTTTAATGGGGTTTCCCTATTAGATATGTTATTTTCTCTTTTTTCTCCATTTTCTGTTTTGTACTTTTGCTGAGGACTGAGGAGGAATCCTTATCCTCCATTCTCTTTGTATTTTTTTCCCTTCATCTTATTGAATTTCCTCTTTTATAATTAGAATAATGATAATGTGTATCTTCCTGTACTATAGGGTTATCCAAGCTTGTTTAGGTGACCTAGTAGTGTCACTACAAAAAGATGAAATTCATAAATGTATACATTGTGGATTGGATTTAATAATTAAAGCTAGATATGGAGTTGCTTTCATCAGAGGGATGGGTAAAAAAGACCCACAAATTGGGATGTGATTAAGAGACCAAATTGACAACAAGAACCTTATAAATTGAATCAGAACAAAAGCACAGCAATAACTGTCCAGACTCCAATGCCAAAAAGAATTGCTCAAACTCCAGTGCAACCGCTGTCGCAATGTAACCACCTAAAATAAAGAATAAACATCTTTACTTCCTTCTGCAACTCATTGTCACCCCTGAAGTGATTGGGACTGTTGACATGCTTGGAACTGTTCTTTTCATGAAGATGATGCTCAGACTTCGCCAAAACAAGTTTTTTTTTACTTGTTCTTGTTTTCTAAAATTGTTTCCAGAACTGTTTACGAGGCTAAAAAGAAGAACTAAAACAAAGAGCATTTTTGGTTTCATGTCTCTGCCCAATGCCAGTACATGAATTCATCACTAATAATAATTGGTGCTTGCACCTTATCGTCATTCAAATCCTTGAGGAAACATTAAGTGTAAATAATAGAAAATCTTTTCATATTTCCTGTTCCAAAATCAATGTTCTTTGTTCAGATTGGTGCAGGTGAGCTTCCAGATGACACAAGACTCTTTTGTTCTCGAGGCTCAGACAGGTTTGCATTCCTTATATTTAGATTTTGTCTGTAGAACTTTTGAAGTGGTGGCAAGGAGCCACTTCCATGCTGCTGGATTTCAATAAGATAAGATAAGATAAGATACTTGGCCAGACAGAATGCTTCTGAGCCTCATGCCTATTCATAATATGGCATATATCTATCATTAGATGTATCTGATTATGGAGTTTAACATCTCAACCATTATCAAACGGCTTGGATAGTACTCCTTGAAAAGTACCACCATCCATTTTATCTTCAGCAATTTGGTATGTGCTTTTCATTTTTGTTTGAGCAGTGCATTGGAGTTCCTTTCAACCTGCAAATTAGCAAACTTAACTGTGAAGGCAGAGCTTGGTTGCTGTTTGCTACATAGGAAGGGAAGGCTAACTGTAGATGGATGCATACTTCAATGTGAATCTAATCCTCTGGATTATCTCTCATGTCCCATTGTGAGCACAGCCAGTAGTAGCAGTGAGGTGCTTCCCTCACAAACAAAGAGTAATGGTGGTGATGGTGTATTTGTTTCTCAAACCCGAATTGAAGGAGGTGTCAAAGCTGTTTTGACAAGTGGGGATCTGGCCTTGCAACGAGTTAGAGTGATTTATGCTCGAACTTCTCTTCTTTTCTGGTTTGATGTAGAGCACTTGTGATCAAATTGGTTATGACAAGCCTTTGTGATATCATTTGTTGTTTTGCTTACCTAGACTTGTCTGTAATTTATTTTATTGGAGTGATGATAATGTTTATGATTCTTTTACTGGTGCTTTTTCTGTTCTTGTTATGTACCATTCGGATATGTCAGATATGTAAGAAAATTTCAGTTTACGATGATCTCTTTGATGAGCTGTCTAAATATACCAACCAGTTGGCTTATTTCCTCACTTTAGCAATTTACACTTTTTGTTTATGCAAAACGCGCCCCTATACGTTTATAAGCACTAATGGTTGAGACCTTTAGATGGACTTTGAAAAAAAAATATTTGGTTTGATATTTTAAAATAACAAAAAGGAGAAGTTATACTTATTATCTCTTTTTCTTATTATTAAATTTTAACCATTGATTTTCGTCAATCTAACGGTTAAATTATAACCGTTAGATTGACGAAAATTAACAGTTAAAATTTAGTAGTAAGAAGTAGTAAAAATAATAATAATAATAACTATAACCTTCCCCATAATGAAATATATAAAAAGTATTTTTAAATAAAATAGTAATTAAATGTTAAAATCAAGGAAAAACTTCAAAAAAACTTTGTAAGTTTCCTAGTAATAATTTATCTCTTTCACAAAATTTTGAATCATTTACACCCAATTTAAAGTTTTTTTTTATTACTTACACCTTAACTTAGGAGGATAATAATAAAAATTTAAATAAAGATATAAATGATTCAAAATTTTAGAGAGGAGAATAAATGATTCTAGAGAAAATTTACAATGATTTTTTTGAAATTTTCCCTAAAATTAATAAATACCTTTTAGATATAAAATTACTAAATATGTGATGTGTGATAGTGAAGTGGGGTAGTTGGAATGAGGTTGTTATAAAAATTGAATTTTTAAAAAATTATTCGACTTGTTTTACTTTTTTTTAAATAAAAAAAAAACTTATTTTAGAAAGAAAAAGAAAAATAATACCCTCCAAACGCCACTAACTTCAACGCAAATTAAGCTGCTATTTTTCTATTCAAATTCAATTATTTGATGCATTTCAAAACAAACCAACCATTCACTTTCACTTTATGTCCTAAAAAATCTATGATTTAGCTTTGTTCAAATAACAAAGAAGAAAATGTTACTGTCAAAACTACTTTGTGAAACAAAATCAAAATAACTAGACAAGAAATTTCTATATAAACCAAGATCCAATCTAAACAAAGAGTTAAGGTGGGGGAAAAAAACCCTAGATTGCCCACAAATGGACCAAAAATTAAAACGAGTAAAAGATGGTTATGCAACCACAAAAATGGAATTTTCCTTGTTTCAATGGGTATTTTCCCATATCATTTCCCCAGTATATAATTCCTCCATCCCAATCCCCAGCATTAGACGAGGTTCGTTTTCTTCTGCACAAATGATCGTTGAGGAGATCACAAACAACCTGAAAATTGAGGACCGAAATGACATTAAATAGATGTTCCTTTAAAACAGACCATCCATGGCAAAAATCTAATACAAATAAGCCATAGATAGTCAAAGCAAAATAATAATAATAATAACAATAATAATAATATATTGCTCATGAAAAAGAATTGCATGGTTCAACATTTATCGACAGTAAAACTACTTATCATTTAACACCAACCCTCTTCCAAAAGAAAACGAAGACGTGAAACAAAGATGGAGCATAGAATTATAGAAAGAATGAAACTTGGATCACTGAAAGAGGTGGGTTGCATGTCTTTGTGCCATCTCAATAAGATCAGATAGGATCAGATTCTACTGGTCTATCACGATATCATTGAATATGCACAAACACCAACTTCTATACAAATCCTTTTGTTTCAGAAATTAATACAGCTGCTTCACTAGTCCTCTCAACCAATAGAATATAGACACAAATCACACAATGACAAACAGAAGAGTACAAACATATAATTGCTTACCGTCATAGGACAAAAATAAGAGTAGCTGAACTCAATTCCCTGTAGTAGTAGTTCTTCCTTTCACCACCAAGTCATCAGCAGAGTAGTAATCAGCTATGAGCCGGTACATATATGACGGGTTATGCCCTCCTCTGAGAAGAAGTAATTTCCAAACCAGAAAATGCAGAAAAAAGAAACCAATTAGTACACTCGTTTTCAATAATGAAGGAAATCTAGTTTTCTTAATCAATATCAGTTCAACTTACGTGTCAGTAATAAACAGACTAACAAGCTTTGGTGGCACATAATCGAATGCTGGATTCACAACATGAAGAGAACCAGCGCCACTCGAAGAATCCAACAAATCTGAGAACTCCCCAAAGTCAAGTAGCTCAGATGGGGACCTCAGCTCATTCAGTAGGACTTCAGGATTGTGCGGATACAAAGGACACAACTGTCAATAAGATAAAGTGACTTTCAACAAATGCCAAACAGTTGGTAACTGAAATGATGAAGCAAATCAAAATTTAATTCCAAAACAGGGTTATGGCATAAAGTTTCCTTACATGCAATTAATGGAAAGTTGAGGTAATGCGTATTAGTAATATTATCACAATCTGGAAACATCTTAACTGAATCAATAACTACAAAGCAGCTACTTCATTATCATCATACAATACATTGTTCAATTGCAATCCCATCAATATGTTAAGAGTATCTGAACCAATTTGAACAGTTTGAGATCTCTAGTGTTTGAACTTACATTCATTAGAGATCAGATACATACTATGTGCAGCCAACTGGAGTATAAGTAAGCAGATTTAAAAAATCTACCAACACGGAATAACTTCAATTTCTGATGTTGACACATTTTTCAAACAGAAAATGAATTTGGGTTTCTCCAAAACTTATAGAATTGGAATAATTAAGGTCTATGGGGCTATACCATGCTTCACTATCAGTCTATCACCTCATTGTGATAACAATAACCATTATTTTAAACTAATTGCTAAAACCTTTTCAAGTTTTTTTAGTTTAGATCAATACGTCAAAGATTTTTGTATTTATATAAGTTCCAAAGTCATTTGAAATTTCAAATCATGTCTCTTCTTAGTTCTTCCTCGTCATCCTTTTAATGCACAACTTTTTGATCATTTTGAGTTGACTGTTCATAGATGGATAACTCTTTCTATGCTTGATTGCTTATCCTCAATTTCTAAGGTTTTCATTAATTAAAAAACTAGGTTCAGAATTGTTCAAAAGTTAAAACTAGTGTCATATATCCATAAAAATTGAATTAATTTCAAATATACTTATTTTGCCTAAAATTTGGTTTTGAACTATCAAATATTGTTTAGTGATTCATTTTCATAATTCAGTAAAACAAATTAAAAACCCAATAGTCATTTTGAATTCTGTTATTCCAATTGGCAAATTTACAAACTGTATTCTGTTAATCAATCAATCAACTTGCAGACACACAAGTTATTCTCAAGTCTATATGAGCAAAACAATCTCAGATTCTTTGCTTCCCAAGGATTTGGCAGCAAACTATCATCCTATTTTCAGATTTAACAGAATAAGAAAAAGAATATGAGGAGACATCAAAAGCCATAAGAATTCTTATTTCCTAGAGCATGACAGATTTAAGGCAGATAGAGAATATATGTTAATAATTCACCTTGTGACTCCCAGCAAGTACAACAAAAGGAACAGCATGCCTTTGAGCAGCAAGTGCCACCATATGTAACCCAACTGGGGCAATAACTCCACCATTAGCCATGACAGCATGAGCTCCAACTATAACCTATATATAATGGTAAGTTGAAAATCAATTTAAATTCAGTATAAGAGTCTTGATTCCAAATATAATGCTAGGATTTTCACATACCATGTTCACTCGGGAAATCATGGCAAAAATTGCAGAATCAGTGATTACTGTGGTCTGTAAGCCTCTAGCAGCCAATTCTTTTGCAAGGATTTGTCCCTGATATCTGATTGCATAAACAGTCAACATTAAATGGCCTTATGTATAATATATACAAATCCATTGCCACTATTACAAACCTTGGGGCACCTTCAGCAACAACCACCTTGAATGATCGCTTTTTTTCCTTAGCAGCACAAAGAAATTCCAACACTGTCTTTGAACTGCCTAGTGTTAATATTACCTCACTGAAAAAGATGCAAATATCAGTATACAGGAATAAGAAAAATAATAGGATTTTCTTCTATTTAAAAAAGTAAATAAAGAAAATGGATAAGATCATAATATCAAGATAATCACATAAATCAATAGAAGTGTGTTCGCCTTGGTTATTTATATGAGGAGGCAAGAAAAAATAATAATAATAATAAAAAAAAAAAAGACAAGTACAATGTATGGATCCTAATGTCAGTCATGTAGATTAAGCAACCCTCTGCTACATTAAAAAACCTTAAAATTGAGAATGTGGATGGAATAGATAACACATTTTTCCAATACACATAAAGCAACAAATCATGTCAGTTACTTTCAAAAAGATATCAATATTGAAGAGTTTGCTGTTTGATGGATTAAATTACATGGCATTTATCGTATATATGCACAGTTATTAAAATTAGAAAATATGCACAGTATTCTAAGTTAATATTATGTACTTGATAATTGCTCTTTGACCAATTATGTCTGCCAATAGTAGCTATCCCCAGCAGTACAATAGCTATATATTCAAAAAATTGACATGTAAATATGTAAAATTTTCCATGCAAGCTTTTCACAGCCACAGATCAATCAGGATTTAGGGGACAAAGTATAACATGTTCTTAAACAACAAGCGCTTCGAGGTGAAACGAACTTTTGATGAATATGCTCTACTGCTTGCTCAGCTATTTGTTCATAGCAAGTGGATATGTCTTGAATAAGTTCATTAACTGCTTCAATGACATCATGCTTCAACTTCCGACCTCCTGAACCTTTGTCAACAGCTGTAGTATCAAAGGAAAACAATATTTCAAGAAAAGAAAAGAAAAAACATACCATTGAACACCAACATAACAACACCAACAATTTCATCATCCAATGCCACATAGCAAGAAGGAAATAATATTACACACCAATAACAGTGATCAACAAATAAATTATCAGTAATGTCAATGAAGCATTCTAATATCTTTAAAAAAATGAGAAAAAGGAAAACTTGTTGTATCTTTGCATAAATTGCATCCAAGATAAGATAGTTATCTAACAAAAAGAACTCTTCTGTGTCTTAGCACGAATTTATGCATGTAAAAAGATGAAAAAAAAAACAATAATTTTCCATTGCAGTTAAGCATGAATTTCTCCACATGACGAAAAACAAAACCCATTTTTTAATCAAAAAGCAATACAAACACAAACACACACACACACACACACACACTATATATATATATATATATATATATATATATTATAACAAAGTTATAACATTCTCAATAATCTCATGGCATCCTCACGTTTGCTTTTCCCTTCAGATTCACCCCCTGAGGAAGATGTGTGCGGAACAGCAGCCGAATCAGGTGTATCCTCTAGAAGAGTTTGCAATGATGGTGGACGCAAGGTGCTTCTTGCAGCAGCTGCAACAGCTGCAGCAGATAAAACAGGATGATTACCTCGCTCTACATCATCTTCATCATCGCTTGTAGCTGATAGCCCCAAACCAGCTACAGCAGCTGTCGTGAGTGAAAGATCCTCCTCCCTTATAATGTGCAAAACACGCCTCACAATATTTCCCACTGCCAGCTCTGCAATCCCATACATAACATGTTATGATAGGCAAACAACAAATCAATTCACATAACCCCCAAGTCCCAATAAACCATTGTGCCATGTGACTCTAAAACAACACCCTTCAACAACAACCTTCAAGAAAAGTCAAACTAGGCAATCAGGAAGCAAATAAACCCAAAAATACATACTTTAATGCCATAAAAACATTGAACTACAATAGAGAAAAAAATCATATTTCAAATTTAGAAAACAAAAATATTAATCTTAATCTTAGCATACCAACAGGATTAGCATCAATAAGCTGTTCCCCCACAGCCCTTACTGCAATAATAAGAGCTGTAGCCTGGTTTGTGTGTGGCACCCTCTGCTGTGAAATCACAGACCGGAGCAACTCTGCTGTCTGCTTTGCTGTGGCTTGAGAACCTTCAATTTTACTAGCATCACACAGCCCCAAAAAATATATATAAATTAATTAAATAAAAAAAAAAAAAACACACACACACACATGTAGAGAAAATCACAAAAATCAGTTCCTAAAACCTCAAAAAGTCACAAGATGGTTCCTAATACACCAATCATTGAACTCAAACAGTGTCAATGAAGAAAAAAGAAATTTACCGTTTTTTAAGCTGATTCACAAAATCATTAACAAGGGTTTGAACATCCGGCATTTTGGTGGCAAATGAAACCTGAAAAAAGAGAGAGTAATAACAAAAAAAATTTAACTTTATGAAAATACAAGCAAAAGGGTAACCTAAACTAGCATAACAGAATCAAGAGTCTTTAATTTCTGAATTGGAAAAACTTATTTCACCCCTTGAAGTTTTCTCAAGAACTACATAAGAATATTTGCTTTACCTGAAGCACACTATTAACAGTGTTTGGCTTGCGAGAAAATATTGAGGAAAAACTGAAAATAAATTCGAAAAACGAATGGAATTGATTTTCAGTAACGTGCGCTTTTATAAAGGCAGTTTGGACGGGCTTTTTTTTTTCTTCTAAAAATTGATTGTGGATGTATGTTTTTTAAAAAAAATAAAAGTCACATAAAAAAAAGTTAAAAATATGTTTTTGTTTTTTAGAAATTAAAAATTTTAACTTGTAAAAAAAGGAAAAATTAAAATTAACTTTTTTTGAATTAATTTTTTTTAAAAATTTAAATAATTTTAATTTTTGTAAAAAATACTTCTAAAATAAATCAGGCATAAAAAGTATTTTTTTTGAAAACCCATCCAAAAGTGATGAAATCGGATAGTCAATAAAATTACCTAATGAGATTCCTAATCTTATTTCTAAAAAAAAATTAAAAACATATTATAATGAATAAATTAAAAAGCTATCAAATCCTATTAATAGTCAATACTAATTTACTAATTAACAAATTAATTATTTAGTTAATGATAATTACTTACAAATAAGTCCTAACTCAATCAACATTTACCACATGCAGTATAAAAACATCACATAGGTAGATATATGTAACGGTAACGGTAACAGTTGTAAGTTTGTAACCGTTCAAATTAAATTTGATCTTTCAAATTAGAAATTGATCCGAATTCGAATTGAACATAATAAATTAGTCACATTTTTCATATCCAACTTATACGACAGTGATATAACCAGCGCATTGTATAGATATTTTTTAAATTCAAGGAAGAAAATAAAACTATAAATTAAAAGAAAAAAAATTATTTAAGAAAAATTTTAAAATTAAAAGAATATAAATAATTAGTGAAAAACATTTCTACTTTTGCTATACATTTTTTTTGTATAACTACAAAAGTGAATGAATCTCGTTATGAAGAAAAGATAAAGAAAAAAATTATCGAAAAAATGGAGAAAAAAAATATAAATAACTATGTATATATAAAATCAATTAAAAATAGTTTAAAATTAGAATTTAATAAGAAATTAAGACTGAAATGACAAAATTCTAATTTTTACATAAAAGTAGCTAATGACATGCTATAATTGAAAAGGAGAGCATCACGTCGTTTTCAATGAAACAAAGGAAAATACAATGAAATGTTGTTAGTTACTATTATTTAGATTTTTTAAAACTAAAAGAAATGCAATGAAATATGATAGAGTGTATTTCATCCCATTTGGTGCAATAATTTTATTTTTTTTAGTATGAGATGAAATCATTGTAATGAAATTATAATTTTATTATTTTGTTTCATTCAAATAATAAAACAAAAAAAGTTGTTATTACATTTCTCAAGATAATGTATGGATTACACACTAGATATATAGATTCATAGACAACACAACATTACGTTACAGAAGACGCCAACATCAAGAATTGCACTCCAAACTAAATTATTCAGAACCATGCAAAACAGAACCAGCAGAAAGTTATTGAAGAACCATGCAAAACAGAACAGAAAACTATTGACGAACCATGCAAAACAGAACCAGAAGGTTGACAATTAATTATACCTTGTATTTTCCTCTCCAACATCGTTGAGATTGAAAAGACTATGAGCAGAGAGACAAGGCTAACTACCCATTGTGTTTTTTGAAACAGAACATGGGTTTCTCTGGAATCGAAAAACACCGTACCTAGTTTACCATTATTCTGACCCATTTTTGAATTTTTATTTTATTTTTTTATTTCTTGGTTCATTAATTATTCGATTATTCCAGTTAATTGATTACTCAAGAATTGGTAGTATTTTTGAATCATTATTAACATCTCATCAGATTCAAGAATAAATAATCCCAATTAACATAACCAATTTTTTTGTTTCTTAACCAAATCAATTCAAGAATGGTGTGCTGCACAAGATTTATAGAAGGTTAATGAACGAGTTACGTACCTTTTTGTTTTTTTTAGCCTTTGTTTCTTGAGGCTTCACAACACCAACTTTTTTCAAGATTTGTGAAGAAGGGCTTTCAATATTCTTCTGTTCGTCATAGTTGAACAGCATCTTATTGCTCAGCTTTTGTTCCATATTCTTCTGCCAACTTTCCGTTCTCTCCAACCTTTCTTCTATGGACGTTAAACGAGTTAATATTTGGCACAAATATTCTTCCGTATTGTTCACACCCATTTGTGAGTTGAACTCCATTGATCAGAATCAATATATGAAAGAATCACGCAGATGAAAGAGATGTTCGGGGTTAACTCGTTTGATCAAAGAATCACGCAGATGTTAGGGTTAAACCCCTAAGCAGAGAGAGAGAGAGAGAGAGAAAGAGATGGAAATGAAGAGTAAAACTGAATTCTATTATTCACATATGCATATTCTTATTACAACTCCTCTGTTTTATTCAATAGTCTTCCACATATTCCTAACTAAGCAACTAACTACACTAACTACCCACGTGCATAGTGTACTAACATCTCATCCTACGTGGACTTAACTACAAGTAGCATAATCTTGTAACCATACTGGTTTCCTATGCATGCATGCGAATATGCGATTAGACCTCTTGCTCAATTAATGTAACAAAAGACTATGAGCAGAGAGACAAGGGTAACTAACTACCCGTTGTGTTTTTTGAAACAGACGTTAAACGAGTTGATATATTTGGCACAAAGCTTCCTCCATTTTGGACAAAGATTAGGAAGAAGAACCATCTCAATGTGGCTTCTTGATGGAGAGTGGAAAGGCATGACACGAGATTATTGGTCCTATCTTGGAATAACATAGAGGAAGTGAAGACACATTTAGATGCTCTTGTACATTCATAGTGCAATCGTAAGCTTTTAAGTTGGCGGGATATTTGAATCCTATTGTGTGGTCATATGATCGATGATCTCATCTAAGAAAGGGTGTTTAAAGCATGGACTGAGTTGATTACTCTTGTATAAGAGGGTTCGGAGTATTTGAGGAAGTGTATAGATGATGAGTGTGGGTAAGGGTGTAATTCGTTCAGACAGTCTATCAGAGCCTACCGCCGCATATGTTGATTCATGCTTGGATCAATGTATTTAGTAAAATAGAATAAGGATTTAGCGTGTATCATTCAAAATGACACAAGTTGTGTCTTTTTAGTTATTTACACAGAGTACGACCGGTCGTACTGTGTGTAATTCTGAAAAGTTATTTTTTTTTTCACTTTACACGTTAGCGATGTGACTGGGGAGAGAAAAAAAAAAGTAACTTTTCAATTTTATACAAAGTATGACGGTCGTACTTTGTGTAAAATACCTAAAATGACACAAGCTTGTGTCATTCAAGAGGATACTTCTTTTTCCCCTGAAATAAACTCAAAGAATTTGTTTGGAAAAAGGTCGACCTAGGCCTACTTTTAAGGCCAAACCTATTTGCCTCTTGATCGATCTATAGCGTGCTATTTATTTTAATTAAAAAAATATTATATATAACTTTAATTAATAAATAATATTATTTATATACATGTTTAATAGGTTTAAACATGCTAATGGGCATAGATTAGGTTTTTTGATTTTTAAATATAAGTCAGATTAGTATTATAATTTAGCTTACAATAAATTAACAAAGGAAAAAAGGTATATCATTTTAAATGACATACCTTACATCTTTTCACTCGCATAAAGAGGTGAGACCCACATCTTTAAAATGTCCCTCCCTCCTTTGCTCTCTCTCATAATTTATTTTTTTCTCTCGTTTAAATAACATAACTTTGTTTCATTTAAAATGATACACATTTTTTTATTAATAAATCAAGTTATGTTCAAAATATTTTACGTATAACTGACCTATTTACATCAAAATGTGTTTACACCTCTAGATGTGAAAATTCCTTTAGGGGACGTTTGGTTTTGGAAATTTTTTTGAAATAGTAGGAAAATGTAATAGATAGAGAAATGATTGGAAAGATAGATAAAGTGAGATAGGTAGACAAATATAAAAAAAAGTAGTTTGGTGGGAAAAAACTTTACACGAAAAATTAGGTAACTTTATGAAATCAACAGTGCATTAAAAGCTAGATAACCGGTTTTCCGAAAAATCCCACCTTCAAATTGGGTTTCTAAACAGTGCGGATATCTATATTTCTCATAAATCCAGACAAATTGGATAGATGAGTTTTTGGTGAAAATACGTTGAAACAAACATAGTGTTTCTAAAAGCCATACTTAAGAAACATAAATATCTGCTGAAAAGCTTCCAACCAAACACCTCCTTATGCAACACTGTAATTAACTCGAAAGGGGATTTTTGTAAAATTCATTCAGGATAAATCCTCCCAAAGAGAAGAGAGATATACCGAATAAAAAAGGTAATCCAAAAGTTCACCAACGAAGTAATCCATTAACTATTATCTTGTGCCTATTAACATTTTTTCATGGTGGGCCTTGGGCATGCGTTACGTTGAGTTTTGGATCTGGGCTTCGGCCCATATGATTTAGTACATGAAGTTGTCCTTTCTGATCTGATTTGGTAAGAGGCCCAAATAACAAAATTTCATTGCATTTAGCAGCAACAAGGTACAAAAGACGATAGCTACAGCTACAACATTAGCGTACACACGACTTTCTAAGCCCATACTGTCATTAAACTTTTATTTTGGGTACATGAGATAGATTATTTTACCTACATTTTTTCTGCCTACTTTTGTTTATCACTCTGAAATACTGTTAGATCAGAATCTCAAGAGGAGAGAGAAAGATAAAGATTAGTTAAGATTCTGATCTAACGGTATTTTAGAGTGGCAGGCGGAAAAAATAGTTGGTAGAATAACTTATCGCAGACCAAATTGGCATATTTTATTTAATCTTTTCATATTTTGGTTACAAAACACGATAGCTACAGCTACAACATTGGAACAGTGATCATTTTGTCACATTTCACCAAATTATTTACCAGATTGTCACTCTAACAGTAAAAATTTCTGGAATGTCACGCGACATAATTCGCTACACTGTGTAGCGAATTATGTGTGCTAATGTGGCACGTCTCAATTGGCCACATAATTCGCTACACAATGTAGCGAATTACGTGGACAAGATGTCAGGCTGCACAGTCAGTCACGTGTCAAGCTATACTGTGTAGCGAATTATGCATGATGATTTGGCACAATTATGTGTCCCACAGAATTGTGCCAAATCATCATGCATAATTTGCTACACAATGTAGCAAATTACTGCTGACTTGACATGTGTTTTGTGACTGCCTGTGCAACCTGATATCTTGTTCACGTAATTCGCTACACTATGTAGCGAATTATGTCACATGACATTCTTTAAATTTTTATTATTGACGTGACAGTCTAATAAATAATTTGATGAACACTGATAAAATAATTACTGTTCTTAGCTACGACATTAGCGTACACCGACTTTCTAAACCCATACTGCCATTAAACTTGCTTAAAAGAACTTGTCTTCAAAGAGATAAAACACTAAATACAGAAATGCTTCAGCGTCTCACATTAATAATCTTTAAAATATAAATAAAAATATAAAAAAGTCTCACAAAAAAATCATCAAATATTGTATACCATAAGAAATGCTATAGTAACACATTACATATTGAATATTAAGTAAATTTATATGAATCCAACTAAATATCTTTATTGGGCATTTGGTAGAGGAGAAATTTTTTTTATTCGAAAATCTCGATTTTCAAAAATATAATTTTTACATTCAGTTTACGATAATATTCGAAAATTTAAAATTTAAAAAAATTCAATTTTCCGAAAATATTGAAGAATGACGCGTACCAAACACCCTATTTTATTTACTAAGGCTCACATAAAATTTATACAATTCCTATAGGTACGTGGCGCGAAAACAACTAAGATATTACACTCATGCTAAAAATTGTTAAAAAAGTGAGTTTTTATTCGGGGTCATTTATTTACTTTTCTTATTCTTCAAAAATTATTATTTTTAAATTTTAAATAATATATTTAATTAATTTATATTGAAAGACTTCAATTAGTTTATATTTAATTCGTTAAAAATAATTATTCTTTTTCCCTTTAAAAAAAATTATTACTTAAAATGGATAGATAATTATTCTAAAATGACATTTTAGTAAACTTAAAATACAGAGCTTCATAATTTTAATAGTTGATTTTGATATTTTTTGAGCTTGCAGACTAATATGCACGAGCTTAATTCAAGTCGAATTAAATTATTAATATCTGAGCTTCAATTTAATTGGCCTAACTCATATTTTATTAAATTATTGTAATTAGTCGATGGGAATAGGCTCATAGTTATATGCAAAATGTTATATATGATACTACAATATACACTAACGTCTTTGGTGGTATACTTAGCGTTTTGACCAACGATTTGGTTTCAAGGGTGAGCAGTGTTTGGTATATCCGTTCGGGGTGAATTTTTTTTATGAGGAATTGATGAGATCTCCAATATATGAGTCTGAATCCTTCTTAGACAACTCTAGGGATCCTAAGCACGTTGAGGAACATTATTTCAATAGAGTTTCCTTGGGTCATAAACATTCATCTCACCTTGGTTTTTGGCAATGATTTTAGACACGACCAACATAGCATTTGAGTTGTCCATTTCAGATGAAGGTCTTAATTGTGTCTATCCAGTATATGTACTTGTTCGTAGTGTGTCCACAGCCATGGTGTATACCACACGCTTAGGAGTATACCACAGTTCGATATTCATGACTTCATATAGGACTTAAGATCGAGGTTTGTGAGGAGCGTGTATACCTCGTATCTTCATTTTGGAGCTTTCTTGTTTCATGTTGCTTGGAGCCCTTAATTATTTATCAACTATGTGATTTATCGGCTTTAATTTTTTTCTTCAATTTTTCATAGTATTTGAGATTGATGTACTTATTGAATTATGCCTTCAACCCATCTATCGTTCTAACTTCTCTCTTTGCCAAGGGGGTGGTGAATGAACCTGCTCGTAATTTTTCAACTAGTAGGTGTAGGGTGACATATGAGTTGAGATAAAGAACGAGTAGAGATTATCTATTATATTGGCCTTGTAATCCCTAATAGATTTGTTATGGACTTGATATAAACGCCCATGATTCAGAAAGTCTGAGAAGGGCTACTAATTAAGATGAAAATTAAAGAAAAATTTCTTAATTATACTAATTCTAGTACGAGTGTACAACAGTAATGGATTAAGAACTAGACATTAATATTTCTAAGAGGCCCAAAATTTACTCATGTCAGGTAACTCATCTATAAATAAAGGGTTAAGGTAATCAGATATACACATTCTAAACCCTTACTGTAATATCCCAGAAAAATAATAGTAATTTATAATACAATAAATTAATAATAGTAATAAATTATAAATTAGTAATAATAATAATGGGTGATAAATTGTTATTATTTAATTGATCATTATGCTTTAATGTTTGATTATTTGATTGGTAATGTTTGATTGGATTAGGATGAGTCAACAAACATAAATTGTTTAGATATGATGACTCAACAAACATAAATTGTTTAGATATGATGACTTAACAAACATAAATTGTTTAGATATGATGACTCAACAAACATAAATTGTTTAGATATGATGAGTCAGCATTGAGTCAGTAATGTATAAGTCCTAAACTTCAACTATAAATAGAGACCTAGCCTAACCAAACCAATTCACTCTTCTCTACTACTCTTTTTCTCTTCTCACTCCAAAAAGTTTATTTTAATTATTTTCAATCTTTATATTTTTTATCAACCGGTTCTCTGCCCCAAATTACTCTTTTCTTCTAAAAGTTAGCGAAAACGGAGACCAGGTAATCCTAATCCCTAGGTATTTTTAGATTATATTTTATGTCAAATTTGGTATGTGTAATCCTAATCCTTAGAAGTCTTAGGTTAATTTTATATGAATTTTGATAGGGTAATTATGATCCTAAATATATCATAGGGTTGTCTTATATGAAAAATATTGTATGTAATCCTAATCCCAAATAATTATGTTGACCTGTATATATAATTACGTTCGTTATAAATTCAATTTTTGTTGATAATTACTATCTGCATATATATATTCGATTACAAATGTTTCCTCAATTTGCTTCTGCCGAACTCGGAACTGCATATATACCTTCACTGCAAATTTCTTTCGTTTTCGTTTTATGTGCAATTCTTTAATTGAATTCAATGGTAATGGTTGTTGGTTTTATATATATAAACATTGTTCACAAAACAAAAACAAAAAAAAACTCCTTCTCGATTTTTGTGCGTCACTTTCCATTAAAGTAGTTGCTGATCGTTTCTTTCAATTTGCAAATTAGTTATATGCATATATTTGCAATGTTATTTTTCTCGGTTTACGTGATCAACCTATTTCAAATACATGCTTTCAGTATATGTTGTTAGTTACAATTGTTTCTTTTGAATCCTGTGCTTTATTTTATAAATTGAGGCACTAAAATATATATATGTTTTGATAAATTAGAAATTAATTGTTAGTTGCAAAAAAATAGATATTACATATATTTGAAATAAATTGAGGAATTTTGTTATGTTTGTATAAAAAAAAAATTAATAGTGGGAGGATAGCTTTGGGATGGTACCTCCCAAAGTGATGAACACAACTTTTGGGCTTTATGCCTCCGATGTGAAACTGATGTGAAAATGATTATATCCGTTCTTCCCAAAGTGGTGTCTGGCAGGGTTCCCCGGGATACTAGTAGCAACTTTGGGAAGAGGTGTGCACACTAGGAAGATGTGAATTGATTATGGCCAAAGTGATTTGTTTGTGACTGGCAGGGTTTCCCGGGTCACAGGGTAGACTGGCAGGGTTCCCCGGGTCTACCATGGTTCTTTTCCCACTAAATAGACTAAATGGATTAAATAAATATTAATATAATTAATAACAAGTTGACATTTGATTCGAATTTTTGAGTTATATTATTTTATTGGATTATCATGAGTTACATCCTTTTTGTTTATTTATTTATTTTTGTATATCGGATTTGGATTACCAGCTTTGCTGACTTTTGTGTTTGTTTAACTGCAATGATCCTTCACGGGGAGCAGATTTTCAGTGAAGCATGTTGCAAAGGATGGGGCTAGCTGTGGGCAGCGAGGATCACGACTCGGATATTATATTTCTAGCTAGTTTCTAAGTTTAGAAATTTTATGAGATTTAAATAAATGCATAAGACATATTTCCTTTATTTAAACTTTAGTCTTTGGTTTTATTTTTAATGTAATAAATTTAGCCTTGCACCTGTCCATAGTACAAGTGTGGCAGTAACACTTTCCAAATTTGATTATTTTGAACTTCCGCTGTTATTTACAAAAATTATTGAAATTATTTATGCTATTATCAATTGTTAGAATTTGGGGTGTTACAAAATGGTATCAGAGCCCTGAGTTTAACTTGGGTTCACTTTTGATACTAACTCAAGGGATCAAAGATCCCACAGTTAAATAAATAAATAAGAACATAAATAATAAAATAAATTGAAATAAAATAAAAAAATTAAACGTGAGAGATGGGTAGTGAAGGGTTATTTTCTTGTCCTTTAAATAAGATTTATTTGAAATTCTAATAATTGCATGTTTGAAATTATTTTGTGACTTGTTATGTGATTTATTGACTTGTAATTTTATTTTAGCAAATGAATAGAATTTTCTACAGGCTAAAAGGGTTTCTTCTAGATGTGATTTTTTTTCTTTCTTTGAAGAATGATGAATGATGAAATTCTTATTATTTATGTATTTAAATAAATTGGTTTATTGTTTGAATTGCATTATCTGATACATAATACAAATATATGAGATGAGGAAAGTGATAGTTAGAGTTGACTATGAGAATAAATTCAAACACTTAGAATTTAAAAAAAAAAAAAACATACGATCAGGTACTATACCCGTCGTAACACTAGAATGGCTGCAAACAACGCTGTTGCTGAAGAAATGGACCGACGTCTGAGGGCTATTGAAGATCTTGCATTAGCACTTGGACAACAAAACGCCCATCAGGCTAATGCCGAGAATACCATTTTTAAGAGAGTGGCATCTCATCATCCACCCACTTACAAAGGGACTATCGATCCAGTTGCTCTTGAAAATTGGATTCGCGACATGGAAAAGCTGTATGAAGTGACAAATTGTCCCGAGAACATGAAGATTAGCATTGGCTCATTTTATCTGAAAGAGGAGGCGGATAGTTGGTGGTCCACGGTGAAGACGGGCTACATAGCTGAAGAAGGATTTAACTGGGAGATTTTCAAGGAACGAGTCCGCAATAGATTCTACCCCGACGCAATTAAGTGGCAGAAACAGGAAGAGTTTGCAAGGTTCAGGATGGCAGGAAAGATGACAGTGCAGGAGTACACTGACAAGTTCATTGAGCTCTCGCGTTTTGCTTCAAATCTTATTCCTACGGAGAGGGACAGGGCACGTAAGTATGAAAAAGGGCTGACATTCAAAATTCAGAAGTCCTTGGGAGGTATACCATCACAGACCTTCCAGGAAGCTTATGAATGAGCTTTGAACATTTTTGACATCTTACAAACTGAAGAGGAAGTCATGGAGAGGAACAAGAGAAAGCAATTTGGCAGTGGTCCTCAACAAGTTAGCGGTGATAAGAAGCCTCGTTATGATAACAGGGGAAATAACTGGAGTGACAAACAACCACAGGGACAGAAGTATGCTGACAGAGGTAATTATGGCGAGAATCAACTCAAGATCCAAGTTCAAGGAACAAAACCATACTCTTGTAAAGTATGCGGCAAGCAGGCACACCCTGGGAAGAGGTGCAATGGAGAACTTATAACTTGTTTTCAGTGTGGTGGCAAGGGGCACAAGGCTCACCAGTGTACTGCCAGGGGATTCAATCAGCAATCAGGCTCTCAAGGAGGACAACCAAAGCCAGATGGAGGACGAAATGGGAACAACAACCAAGGGGGTAGGAACAATGACAATCAGCCCCGCTACCAGCAGAACTTTCAAAATGGAAATGGAGGAAATCGGCAATATGCCACTATTGGAAATCCCAACAATGGAGCTATAGCAGATCGAGCGACAGGTCAGAATGCTGCTATTAATCAAACCACAGGGAGTCAAGGAAGGATCTATGTCATGAATCACACTGAGGCTGCGGCAAACCCAGATGTTATTACAGGTACTTTCTTACTGCAGTCTGTACCTGCTTATATATTGTTTGACACTGGTGCATCGCTCTCTTTTATTTCATCCTCTTTTGTGGAGAAAACGAGAATGGTACCATCTTCTACCTTCTCAACCAATGTTACTTTACCCTCTGGAGCTGTTGTCTCTTGCTCCAATGTTTATGAAAATATCCTGATTAGTATAGCTGGTTCTGAGCTACCAGCTGATCTAGTCCAGTTTGACTTGGCGGATTTCGATGTTATTTTGGGAATGGATTGGCTTAGCAAGTATAGGGCTAAGCTAGATTGTAGGGAACAAAAGATATCTTTTAAGGGACCAAAGGGGAAGTACCTCTCTTATAAAGGTGTTGTACCCAAACCTTCCATTCAAATAGTCTCTGCTATGACTATTAAGAGTTTACTTATAAAGGGACACCCAGTTTATTTGTGCAACGTACGCGACTTGACTCTCGAGGAGAAGATTGAACAAATACCCGTGGTCAAAGAGTATGCAGATGTTTTTCCCGAAGAGATTCCTGGTATGCCACCTATTAGAGAAGTAGAGTTTGCTGTCGATCTTATGCCCGGTACTGCTCCGATATCAAAAGCACCATATAGGATGGCTACCCAACTTGAAGAACTGTTAAACAAGGGGTACATAAGGCCGAGTGTTTCGCCGTGGGGAGCTCCAGTTTTGTTTGTGCGAAGAAAAATGGGAGTGTGAGGTTGTGTATTGATTATAGGGATCTGAACATGGTGACCATAAAGAACAAATACCCATTGCCAAGGATTGAAGACTTGTTTGATCAATTGAAAGGAGCAGGTATGTTCTCAAAGATAGATTTGAGGACTGGATATCATCAAGTACGAATCAAGGAAGACGACATCCCAAAGACGGCCTTTCGTACCAGATATGGGCACTATGAGTTTACGGTCATGCCTTTTGGCTTAACGAATGCTCCGGCAGCTTTTATGGATCAGATGAATAGAACCTTCAAGCAATACTTAGATCAATTCGTGGTGGTCTTCATAGATGATATTTTGGTGTATTCCATGACGAGGGAAGAGC